GAGTAAAACGTAAAACTGATAAAGTAAAACGTATGAAAAGAATTGATACGTAACACAATTGAAAAAAATATTTGATACTTATACTTAATTTTCCAGTACATACATATTCTGAAATAAAAGTTTGATAATAGTTAACAAATGCACTTGGTTAAACGTTTCAACGATATTTAGTAATGAGTATTAAATATAATAATAGTTACAAACAATAGTTTGATAATAATTACAAAATAAATAGGAAAACAAAGTTTTCAATTAATTGATCTAATCAAATAATTTGATAATTAATACCAAGTAACTTGGTGATAATTACCAAATAGTTTGATAATTACTATTTGATAAAATAGTAATTATCTGAAAACTATTTGATAAAAGAAATGTTCTAAGATATTGTATCAATCTAACCTACTCTTTAAATTTCTTGGAGTGAAAATTTCACTCAAGAAATAAAGTGACAGTCAAGTCACTCGAATTAAAGTGACTTCTCACTTTTATACAGTGAATTTTTTCACTCTGTATTGTGGAGTGAAAATTTTCAGTCTGTATCGTCGAATAAATTTTCCGTCGATAAATGGAGAGTTTACTACCAGATAAAAAGTTAAAAAAATAAATTAGATAGTATGATAGGATGATGTAAGTGGAAGACGAACGAAACAAGCTGATAATATTGTAATATAATTTCGTCGGACAAAAAGTGCGCAAAAGAGTTTGTTTTATGAAGGAATAAAAATGTATAATGCATTACCAATAGAAATAAAGCGTAATAGAAAACTTAATTAAATTTAAGCAATTACTAAAGCAACATACTTGTACAGTGGACAAATGACGACCGTCACTTGAATTAAATTACAATATTATTATAATATATGTATATATTATACAAGTCTGAGCTACAAGTATATCATCAGAGCTATTGGTATGACTGTCTACCGTTCGACTTTCGATATTAAGCAACAGCAACCGCTGTTCTAGTAGACGGGATAATGATCCGTAGGCCGTCGCTCGGGTTTTAAATCACGGAGGGACATCAATTTATAAAGTATTAACAATCTTCAGTCGCTAGTATTTTTTTTATCGAACATTAGTTTTTTTATTTTTTTTTTTCATCAACTCAATCTCAATGATTTATTCATCTCAATAATCAAATTACATATTAATCACAATTTTTTTCAAGTCAACAACTTTTTATACTGCTTGAGATCATCTTTGATTCTTTTTTTTCAATTTAACAACTTTTTATATTGCTTGAGATCCAATCGTTGGGGACAGGGGGTGGGAGTATGTTGGCTAAATATTAAACCCAATGTTTTACCAACCGTTGACCAGCGGTTAATTAATGTGTCTGCCTAAATGTCTACCCAACACCATTTATATTTTCATGTTGAAATTCTTTGTACAAGAGAAATTGGAATTATTATCTGGAATAATAAGTTTCTTTTTTTCTTTCTAAACACACACAGTACCAATCTTCTGTTTTCTTCGCATCATTAATTTAAAACTTCTGTGTTACCTTCGCGATTACTATTATAATAAAAACTAATGACAATAAAAAAAACTGTAAATTTCGTAATCGCGCATGTCATTCAACAATATAATAAAAAATCCTCCTTTGATTATACATTCTCTTTATGATTATTTATTTTCCCTTTATCTCTTTTATTATGTTTACCTCGCAAATTGTGTACTTACGCTTTACTGTAACGTGACGCTAAAACGTACCAATGTCACGTGCCGGATTTCTCTCTCTCTCTCTCTCTCTCTCTCTCTCTCTCTCTCTCTCTCTCCCCC